GGGTGGGTTGGGGGTCAAGTTGTTGTCATCCTTTTTGATGATGTTGTTTGTTTTAATTGTTTTACCTCTTTCTTCCAGTAAGTGCACAAGACTGAGAAAGGAAGAAGACATATGGGATAAGCTATGGTTACTTGAAAATATAGTTATCCATCCCTATGTATGTTTTATATTGAAAATAATCATGACTAATTGCCAAAATTCCGTATACAAAATTGTCATATGGTGTGTATTGTGCGTATTGCCAGGGTAAGAGTATGAGGTTCTATGTTCTTCTTGTACATGGTATTGTGCCACCTGAGGAACAGGATGTATGCATTTTGACTTGGAAACAGTAGTGCAATTACCTTTGCAATACTTTTGTAGCATAGGATTCTATCTCCTTCCCTTTCTTTCTGACACGAAAATGACACACTGAACTATTTCTCTATTTGCTTTTATATGTTCACCTTTTTTGTGGTAAGAAAATCTCTCTCTTTACTTTTGATCTTTACCTAATGATTGGAAGTCGGATGTGTTTGTATTGTTGAATGATGTGGACGTTGCTATACACTTGAGTTTTACTTGCTTATTTTCTAGAAAGGTGTACCATTGCTAACCTTCATGTACTTTTCACAGGAAAATAGTTATCTGCAGCAGTTACATCTATTAGGGCAGGCTAGTGCTGCTGACCAAGGGCTAAAGTCACCCGAAGTTGCTTGTAAATTGTTCATGCAGTTAACAGAAGCTCAGGAAACCAAGATTAATGTGTTTGTATTTGGGTCTGCTGTGTTTATGTAGATGATATGTTGATGTGCTAAAACATTAGCTGTAGTAGTATTTATTAGGATGAAGTTTTTTACGCTTTCGTATTACTCAATGTTTTATGAATAACTGGGCTTTTCACGGACTTGTTTACGATCAGTCTGCAATATTGTAGGAACACGGGTATTGAGGTTGTGTGTAACATTCAACTGCCTTGATGCTTCTTTCTCTTGAATGATCAATGTACGTACTTCCATTATTTGCTGCTCTATTAAGCAGGCTACTGTTTGCTTGCTTGCAAGCAGTTGACTAGTGGTTTACATCATTGAGGAAAGGACTGATGGGGGTCTATTATAACCCAGGCTTCTGGGGTATTGTTGTTGGGGCAGCAGCAACAACAAAACTATGGCAGGTTTCTATGTCATGGCACATCAGTGGATCATTTCAACTAGCAACCGTGGCCACACTCACGAGTAAGAATTACAGGAACTTTGATTCCTTGTACTGTAGTTGCAAATATGTACCGCCTTCTCAAGGGCAGACAAATGGTCTTAGATTTAATCCTGCAATAACTGAACATTTATCCTTCATGGGTGACTACTACATATATGCATATGTAAGTTAGCTGACGAATCTTGATGAGAAACCATTGCTGATGTAACATGAATCCTTGACAATGGAATTGTGGAAGTGTTTTAAACTGAGACTTCGGGTAACTTGGTTGGGGGGGGGGGGGGGGTCTAGGCTAGCTTGTTATTAATGATCATCTGTGTAGTTTTTATTTCAAATTAACTATTGCTGCGATCTTGATGTCTAAAACATGTCCAACATCTTCTCCATGGTTTTACGTCAAATAGAACCGCTAAAGCTCAAATGCATAAACGTTAAACTTATTTTTTCCTGTTTTAACTCCTTTTTATTTAATTGAATGAAATATAATTCTAATGTTTCCTCCAATAATTAAAATGCTACTGGAAAAGGAAAGTGCTGGACCATCTTTAAATTGTGGACTCTTAACCAAAGGAAGTCAACTCATTGAAAGTGAAAAAGGAAATGAAAAGAGAACGAAAAAGGAAACAACTGAGCAGTCATTCATTGTGATAAAGCTAAAAACAGTAGCTCATCGTGTTTAAACTATCTAATGTAACAACAACCCACTTTGGAACTTTACGTTAAATTACCCTGCATCAGTAGAAATGGAAATGAATTTTGCAGTCTAATTTCTTTTTTGTTGACAACTTATTACCCCATCACGTCTGTTCTAATAATTACATTAAATGCCATGGAGTTGGAGTTCCATTATCATTCTGGCAAAGTCCTTCAAATTATTAGTACTGCTACTTAATAACAACACTAGATACAGAAGCAAAGAACTAGATATGGGGTACGGGTGATTAATCATGGAAATTGGCCAAACTCATTGGTAGATGCACAATGGCCCATGTCAAATGAATTTTGGACATAGCTATCTAAGTACCCAGCGGTGACAGGAACATCCGCAAAATCAGAAGGCATCACGTTGGCGACATTAAAAGGATCATAATCCAACATTAAGGAACAATTAGTAGTAGGGTTTTGCTTTGCAGCAAAATAAGCAACGCGAGTTCGAGCAAGCATTAGATCATGTTGTAGCTCCACCATTTTTCGTTGTAACGAAGCTATAGCGCCAATGCAACCGTAAACAGGGTCCCTTAGTCTCACCTCGGCCTCGTAAACGAGAGAATTAACTGTGTCTTCTCGCTGATCCTCGGGCACTTCGTTCAGGATCTTGCTCACATTGCTAGCCCCAAACACCTTGTGAACGTTGGCGAATTTCTTGGGCTCGTCCGACCGGAAATATGGAGCGAATTGACAATTTGGAGTGCACCTTCTCTTTAAGAACTTGCAAGCTGCACAAGATGAGCTTGAACGTGGCTCGTTACTCTTCATGCCTTCCGCTTTTTCTTCAAACTTCACCTTAATATGATTTTGGCTACTCATATTTATAGGCTTTGAGCAGATAACGATTGTCAAATATTATGCTTTTCACTATCCGAACAACTGGCCCATTAGCTCAGTTGGTTAGAGCGTCATGCTAATAACACGAAGGTCGTAGGGTCGAGACCTGCATGGGCCATATTAATTATACTCCATATCACTCCTACTTTTCTGGAAACATAAGTTTAAAAAGTCTATTTCAGTTTCTTGACATACAGAAAGATAACTTGCGTAATATCTAATCCTCACAATAGAATTCCGTTTCTTCTCTTTTCCATGGAGAATTTAGCTAATATTTCATTTTCAACAGATTTAGGAGATCACAATGTAACTTGCCCATTCTTATTAAAAGAAAAGACAAAACAACTGAAAAAACTGACTCAGTGCCTGACAATTGATATGTAGTGGATGGAAAATAGTGAAAGATGGGTTATCGGTATATATTTATTTCTAGATGAAGTAATATNTTCACAAGAATAGGAAACCCTACAGAAAGTTGTATCATCTCTAAAAGATGGAAACCTAAGAATCTATGGATTCACAGCCTACACAAAGATTTAAAGAATTGAATTGCACTATATTGGAGCGGGGACTTAGTTACGTGGAATAAAGTGAAACGTGTTTCCATAGTACACGAGGACCTTTTATATTTTTCAGGTGATCCTAGGATACCATCAAATTAAATTGACATATATAATTCTTTATATCAAATCTAGTAACCTGACAATACATATAACTGATTACTACTATTAAGGTTTGAATCCTCCATCTCAACCGTGGAAGATAGAAAGCTTATCAAGTAAGCTAGATCACAACAAGGTCAACTGAAGGACTAGGCAAGTAAGGCATAGATTTAGGCCTCCAATTTAGAGGGGCTCAATTTTGAAAGGAATATATTATGTGTTAATATTTTCTTAGAAAAATTTAAGCATTTTATTAAAAAAATTATCATTGTAAAGTTGATGTGACTGTTAAGGGATGAGAAGTCGTCCCGAGTAAAGTAAACATATCTTTATGCTTTCCTTAAACTTGATAAAACTCTCATTTTGCATTTTTTACATTGTCACGACTCGGAATTCTCACTGTCACGATCGTGATGACGCCCAATATTTCACTTGCTAGGCAAGACATTAGAGCAATTTTTTTAGCAGCTTAAACATAACATTAATAACGAACTGAAATAACATATATGTTCTAAGTACAAATGCGGAAGCTAAACAGCCGACGTCTATTATAATTCCCTGAACCTGGTGTCACAAGTGCACGAGCTTCTAAAGTAATACACATAAAAGTTTAAAATAAGTACAAAGCTGTCTGAATGAAGTTATACAGCTAAAAGAAAAGAGGATGGGGGCGCTGAACAACCGTACCTCAAGTCTCCGCAAAGGTTCGATCCTAGCTCGCTAGTAACCGCCGTTGGGTTCGTCTCCAAAATCTGCACAGTGTGAAGAGTGCAGTATCAGTCCAACCGACCCTATGTACTGGTAAGTGCCGAGCCTAACCTCGACGAAGTTGTGACGAGCCTAAGGCGGGTTACCAATCTCTACTAGCTCAAATAAAAATACTGGAAAATAACGCAGCTCAAGAAATAGAAACATATAGGTTGTTGCGGTGCGCAACTCGATCCCACCAGACAACACATAATCCTCTCTTATTCTAGTATAACAATAT